TTCATTTACTTGTTTTTTGTTCAGTTGGCACCATCCTGTGACCTCTTTATTATCCTTGTGAGGTGCCCAGTGATGGGTGATCACCACACCCGCCAGTGACTCTCAGCATGCAGCTCCTCACGCTCTCTGAATGGGGCGACGATGTAAGTCATGTGGCCCGGCCAGGGCCTGATATTGGATGGTCCTGGCATGTTTTGTGAACCTTCTGCTCCTCGGTCTCTTCCTGTGCAGAGTGGGATGCAAACTGTATCTCCTAGGTCATGGGATCTGAAGGCGAGGACATTGCTTGGCACACGGGGGCGCTCAAACAAAGTAGTGACAATGGCACTGCTGCTCTTGCTGATCACTGATTTTCTCTTGAAACCAATGTTTGTGTCCCTCTGAAATTCTTACACTGAAACCCAACCCCATTTGGAGATGGACCTTTGGGAGGTGAGTAGTCATGAGGGTGGAATCAGTGCCTTATGAAAGAGAACCCAGAGATCCTCCTCACCCCTTCTGCAATGTGAGAACAAGGTTGAAGACAGCGTCTGTGGACCAGGAAGTGGGTTCACAGCAGACTAACCTTGCCCATGACCATCCAGCCTCCAGAACTGTGAGGAGTAAACGTTGCTAAAGCTGCCCCAGTCCGTGGTGATTTTGTTATGGCAGCACGAGCAGATTAAAAACACGGCATCCACCAAACCAGTTTCCATATGCTTTCTCCCAATCCTAACCATGTTTCCTGAACTCCCATCTGGGAAGGTTGGTGTTTCCTCCAATTCCTTCTTGTTGATCTTCCTTCCTAAGCGTACACGGGGTGCTGAAGAGCTCAACTTCACCTGCACACCAACGACCTTCAAATTCCAACCTCTGGCCCTGCCTGCTCCTCAGCACACACATCCTCATGACAGCGCCCAGCCCGCACAGGCTTTGAGACTCACCCCTCCCCTTCCTCTGGTTGCCTGTGCCTTTCGTCCTAAGGGGTGAGCCTCACTCAGCCGCACTGTCCAAGTCAGACGCCTGGCCTTTGCTCTTCATTCCTCTCCCAGGAGATGAAGAGGGCCCTGCCCCCGCTCCACAGCGGGCCACCTGCCGGGTGTGATGTGCAGGTGGCTCCCACTGTTCACTCCTTTGGGAGCTCAGGCAGAGGCCACTTGGCTGGAGGCCCTGCTCCTGGGGCAGCTGAATGAATGAGGAATGAGGAGCGAAAGGGTAAGGGGGCCCTTCAGGCCCCAGGGGGATGCAGGACTCTCCCCACCAGGCTGAGGCACGTGTGGCTTCATACAGCCCCACTTCTCCTTATCCCTGTCCTGTGGCCTCCTACCTTCCATGGAGATTGGTCCCTAAAAAACATCTTACACCCTAAACTCTATCCCAGCTCTGTCTCCAGACAAGCCAGCCTGACCCCGGTCCCTCCTCCATCCCTGTCATTCAGGTCACTTTACCTTCTCACTGCATCTTGAACCCATCCCCCTCCTTCTTGTTCCTCCACCAGTGCCTTCTTTCAAGAGCTCATCATTTCCCACTGTACTGTTATGTACTACCTTCTCGGCTACCCACAGCTGCCCCATGTCACCGTCAAGGCATCCAACATCAAATGCAAACTGGACTGGGCCACATTCTCCAGCCCCTGCAGGCCTCCCTGGGCATCTCAAATGAGTTAAGTGTTAATCTTGGACGCTCCTGGCCGGGTCTTCTAGTGGCTTGGCTTCCGAATATCTCCTCTAAATCGACACTCTACATGGGATTCCTGGAAACACTGAGCTGGCTCAGCCTGGAGCTGTTCCCCACACAGCCTCTCCTCCTGGGTTTCCCCTCCTCTGCCGGGGAGACCCTAACAATTCCGCAAAACTCCGCTGCATTCCCCCCGACATCCTGAGGCCAAGCTCAGCACACTCCCCTCTGGGCAGTGTCTGTGTCTCCCACACACTAAAGCGCTCTCATAGCATTGCACTATGTTGTGATGCTAATTTTAGACTTTCTGCCCGTGTCTCGCTAGAACAAAACCCTCTGGGGGCAAAGCGCCTTCCCCAGGGCTCAGCTCATGATCCCCCATCAGGCGAGCACTGGTGGCCTCTGAAGCAGGGAAAGGCGGGCTCGGGCTTCTCCCAGGGCCCCCAGAGGAAAGCAGCCCTCCCTACCCTGAACTATCCTGGGGACCACGTTGGACCTCAGACCTAAAGCACTGGGAGGTAATACGGTTGTGTCATTTTAAACACTGTGTGGTTAAGGTAGAAATAAAAAACCAATATACTTTTTAAATGTTTAAAAAAATTTTTTTATTATTGATTTCAGAGAGGAAAAGGGAGAGGGAGAGAAACATTAACGATGAGAGTCATTGATGGGCTGCCTCCTGCACACTCCACCCTGGGGATCAAGCCTGAACCCGGGCATGGGCCCTGACTGGGAATCAAACCGTGACCTCCTGGTTCATAGGTCAACACTCAACCACTGAGAAACACCGGGCAGGCATTAACACAATTTTAAATTAATAGATTTAAAAAGAGAAACTGCAATAACCTGGAAAGGCGATGGAAATGAGCCAGGCTGCCTGGCTTTCTGGAGTCTCAGGCTGACTTAACAACGGTTTCCTTTTTTCTGTTTTCTTTGTGTTGCCAGACTATGAAATTTTCACCTATCATCCACCTCTGCGTTGTCTCAGGCTGGTAAGGCAGACAGTCAGGCTTTGGGGGGGGGGGGGGGAGGGGGGCTCTAAAATAAGCAGGCGCAGCCCAGGGAGGCCCACAGGGCTGTCCCGGGAGAAGAGGGGGGCTCCTGGCTGGGCTGTGCTGTGCTGGGCTGGGCTGGCGGCTACTATTTTGGTGCTGAGCTGCCTTTGGGGTTTCTTCCTGAGAAGTGAGGTTTCACTGTGCTGTTGTGCTCCTGGACTGTTCGTCACCCTCTTTGATGATATATCTTTTTACATTTGGTACACTTACATTGCTATTTATATTTTAAAAATGGCCAATTTCTTCCATTTGCCTCGTCACAGTAAAAAAAAAAAAATGTCTCCGGTTGGCTGAGGGTTAATGTCTAGCTTTGGATTTTTTTCTTCTTGGAGACTTGACATACAGGCGTGTTCTATATTCCTTTCACAAAAAGGATGCAGGCGAGCTCCGAGGTTTTGAATGTGCCTTCACTGTGCATTCATAACAAATGCTGAACTGGATGGCACATTCATGGCTGCTCGCGATGTAAATGAATGGCTGAATGAAAGTCGGGGGCACAGCTCACCTCCAAGAGGGCAGTCCTGTTCACAGCTACCCGGCGCCCAGTGGTGTTTTATTTTCCTTGAAAAACCAGCTTTTCCTCTCTGTGTAAGGGAGGCGGCGGGCACTTCCTCCCGGCATCTTTGTGACCAGGCTAGCTTTCTTCTTTTTTCCCTCCCGACACTGCCTTTGGATGAAAGATCCCGCCTTTGATTGAAATGGAACCTTCCACTATTGAGCAAGCCTTTGTTGAATGAGTCATCGCGGCGGCTGCTCATTGGCTGAGGCCCCTGGAACCAGGGATTGCCTGGCACCGGCTGCAAGGCCCGGCGGCTTCATTCACAGAAATGCTGGCTCCTTCGCTAGCCCTTTCATTCACACAAACAGCATTTCATTCACATTTTGCTGTTTTTGTCTAAAGATCAGGGTTTGGGAATGATAGGGCATTTCCGCTTTAGATTTTGGGGGGGCTTTGATAGCCATCCCAATCACCTATGGGGTGTGCATTTGCTGTTGCTATGCAAGCAAGGGGAAGGGAAAAGATGAGAGCTGCCGGTCCTCCTAGGCCTGCGCCAGGGGCTGGAGCCGCTGCTCCCCTGTGCTCCTGCGCCCCGGCAATGGCCCACCCTGGGGGGCACCAGTTACAGCTGCTCCACAGAGCTCTTCAAGCCTCGGTGTGTCCTCTGTCACATGTCCAGTCGTGGGTGTGAGAAGACGCAGGGCGACCTGATAGTGTGTGAGAGGTAAATTCATGTGCCTGCACAGAGGCAGCTGGAAATGTGGACAGGAAGCGGGCCATGGTGCTGGGCAGCATGGTGTTGGGCAGGTTATCAATGCATGGCGAGGGCGGAGCCCATGGGGACAGCAGTGGAGGGTTCGTTCGAGCCCCGCAGCTCTCCCGGGGCTTCCCATTCCCTGCTCTCCTGAGAGGAAGGAGGCCTGTGCAGTTCTACAGCCCGAGTCTGACTCCTGAAAGGAAGGCATTTCCCGTGGATTTGATGTGTAGTGGGTGGGAGCAGCTGCACCCCCCTCCCTTACTGTAGGGCTGTGAGCTGCAGCTGAGGGACACTGACATGTACTTGCAGCGTTTCTTAGCATTTTCCCAGAGCTTGAGCACACGCAGGTGGAATAAAGGCTCGAGTACAGCCCCCCTGGAGGGGTTTCTAGAGCCTGCTGCTTTCACAGGGGAGCACTCCTCTTTTCTTGGCAGTAGGTTTCGGACTGAGCCCCCCTGCAGACTGCCACACGCCAGCAGGGGAGGGTCCTAACCTCTCTGTGCACAAGTTCACAGGCAGATTTTCTTTTCTTTTCTTTCTTGAGGAATTGCATTGCCACAAAGACACTTGTCATGGCTGCACTGTTGATTTGAAAAGAAAACCCCAGAAAATTGGTATTTTTATGTACACCTGGGAGTGAATATTTCTCTCTCTTTTATTTTTTATTTTGCTATTTAACAATCCGTTTGCTTTCCAAATCAGAATTCATGAGGATCCGCTGGAGAGCTTATTCTTAAAAAGCCTTCGTCACATTTTAACGCATCCTGTCAGAACCTTACGGCTCACGCAGAAGGGCTGTGGGAGAGAAAGTCCTGGCATCATGGGCTTCAGCAAGTTCCTCTCTCATCCGGGGAGACTGGGCTTACCTCTGGTGCAAAAGCTACGTGGGGAGGCAGGGAGGTGAGAAATCAAAGGTTGGAAAGAAAGAGCTGGGAAGGTAGAAAAAGGAAATGTGAGAACTGATTGGCTCTGGCGTGCTGGTGGGTGTATGAGGTTTTCTTGTTCTTCTCTCTCTCTTTTCCCCGCAGGAAGTGATTTGCAGCGCTCACCGAGCCTTTGTTGAGAAGGGTCTCCGCTCACAGTGAGTCACGCTTTCGCTGTGAGAGCCCGAGCAGCAGCTGGGCGCTCAGCAGAGGAAACTATGACTTTTGCAAAGCGAGCGCGCCGCCCTCGGCAGCCGGGTCCGGGGTCCGGGCTGCGCGGCCGCGGCGGCTCGGGGCGTTAGCGGTGGGAGGCCGGCGCCCCCGTCCGCACCCCGGACCCCGCCGCCGGCTGGGCCGCCGAGTCCGCTCTGGGGACCGCGGCACGCCTGCTATGCGCGGCATCCCGCGCCCGCGCCCGCACCTGCAGCGCCCGGGCGAATGCGGCGAGCCCACGGAGGGGCATGCTTCCACGCACCAAATACAACCGCTTCAGGAATGACTCGGTGACCTCGGTCGATGACCTTCTGCACAACCTGTCGGTGAGCGGCGGCAGCAAGGTCTCGGCGGCGCGCGCGGCCCCCGCGGCGGCGGCCCCCTACCTGGTGTCCGGAGACGCGCTGCGCAGGGCGCCGGACGATGGCTCCGGCAGCCTGGGTCACCTGCTCCACAAGGTGTCCCACCTGAAACTCGCCAGCTCGGGCCTCCGCGGCCTGTCGGCGGCCAGGGAGCGGGCGGGCGCCCGGCTCTCGGGCAGCTGCAGCGCGCCCAGCCTGGCCGCCCCGGACGGCAGCGCGCCCCCCGGCCCCCGCGCCCCGGCCATGCGCGCCGCCCGGAAGGGTCGGCCCGGGGACGAGCCGCCGCCCCGCGCGCCCCCCGCCAGCGACCAGGTGCTGGGGGCCGGAGTCACCTACGTCGTCAAGGTGGGTGCGGGCGCGGGCCGCCGGGTGGGGAAGCTCGGGTGTGGGTGCGGGCGCGTCCGCTCCGGGTGGGTCGCCTTGCAGGCCGGGAGGTGCGCACTCCTTCGCAGCCAGCTCTCCTGGCAGCGGGCAGCGGGCACCACAAACGCGCCCGCTGCGAATCTGTTGGGAGAAGGTTTAAAAACGGTGACTTCACTCTGCCCTGGTTTCCCTTGGCCGCACTTCTCTGGCATAGCTTCACCACCTCGCTTTGCCAAGTGTCCGGCCAGTGCCGCTCTGGCATGGGCCCTGTGCCTGGGAACGGTGCGCCAGGCCTACCTAGGACGCGGTGAACACCCTGGGAAGAACTGGGCAGCCCGAGATGAGCATGTCGGTGGCACGGCCTCTGCTGTGCTTGCCCAGGCAGCAGGGGGCTGGTTTCGGTTCCCGCGGCCAGCATCTCCAGCCCCTCGTGGCGCAGGGAATGCTGTCTCGCTTTATATAAGACAGGCTGTACTTTCTCGCCCAGCAGGCTTTTCTTTGGCGTCTGCCCTCCATTACTCCGAAAGGTTTCGGTTTGCAGCAGCAGAAGGAAAATTTGGGACTGCACCCCCCTCCCCACCCCCACTAGCTTCCAGTTAAACAAATGAGGGGGCTGAGCTGCAGGATCTGGAAAGATTTCCCCTCCAACAAAGAATTATAAAACTGTGTCCGATGTGGCCTATAAAACCCCTCCCTTATGCAAGTATTTTGTGATATTTAAGTAACAAATACCCTGCATGGACCACCTGGCCTGCCCCCCTCTTGCAAAGGGCTGGCCCACATCCGGGCAGATCTCCAGACCACGGGGTGGGGCGGGGGGTGCATTATTTCAGTCTGGTCACCCCAAGGCACCACTTTTTATTTAAAAAGAAACAGAGACACAAATCTGTCCCCACGGCGCTGCCCACTGAGGCACCCGCAGGCACCTCTGCGTACCGGCAGCAGATTTAGTTTAAAAATTCAACAAATCACAACTGCCAGCAAAATGTTGTATCTTGGTCATTTTGGAACCAAAATGTTAAAAGAAACAGTTAACTGTGCGGATTATCTGTAACTGTCTAAAAAGCACCGGAAAGGAAGGTGATCATCGGTGTCAAAAGTGGGGCCTGAAAAGCTGCTGTTTAATTTTTCTTCATCTATAGTAGCTCTGCAAATTGGTTAATATATTTTACAAAAGGCACGTAGATCAGCATAAAGTATGCACATCTGGTTGAATTTGTTATAGCAGAAAAGATTTTTCTTGTATTCCTTCTTTAAAATATATAACCAGGAGCCCAAACCAAATCAAACCAAAAACCAAACCAAACAAAGCACCCCGACAGCTTCGAGTTGAAGCAGTGATACCGGAATATATTACTTCCAGTTATTAGTATAACTGCTATCTCAAAAAAACAAAAACAAAAAAAGCTACAGTTAAAATAGACAAATCAATCAGGCGAAGCTTTCTATACCTGTCATGTCGAATGGAGAGGGTAGTTTTCAAGTGGAGGGAAAATTCTCAAAATTTTACCTTTAAAGTTTTCCTTTAAAAAGAAATCATTAAAAAAAAATCATTCATCTTGGCTAAGTGCTTTGCTCTTGCTGTATGGAGAGTGAAAGTGCCCTGCGGGCCTGTTCTGTTGCAGTTACTGAAACAGGTGGAGAGCTGGGTCTGCTTTGTGGGGCCTCAAGGAAAGGGTTGCAGTGACCTGGGCTGCACTGCACGACTGGGCAGCGCTGAGTCGTCACCTGGTCGGTCCTCAGCGGGGAACAGTGGAGTCGTGGGGCGAGAGGCTCAGGTTGCCCTGGAGAGCTTTGAAATCCCACAGCAAAGGCCCAACGCGCACATGCCTGACTCATGTGATCCCGTGGCCCTCTGTCGGCACATTTCCATAAAACCATGAACATACTTTCTTGAAAAAAATTACAAAACTGAAAAAGAAGGTGCCTTCATTTAGTCCTCTTGCTGACGTGTGAATAGTTTTGTTGGTATCCTTGCTTGTAAAGATCTCTGGTAGACAGAAAGGGGCCATCTTTCAACATCACTGTACATCAGTTGTAAAATCTAAAGGCTTAGGGTTTGGGAAAGAACTTATTATTCTTTTTTAAAAATATTTTCTTATTGATTTCAGAGAGGAAGGGATAGGGAGAGAGATAGAAACATCAATGATGACAGAGAATCATTGACTGGGGCCTCCTGCACTGCACGCCCCACACTGGGGATCAAGCCTGCAGCCCAGGCATGTGCCCTTGACCAGAATGGAACCTGGGACCCTTCAGTCTGAAGGACGATGCTCTATCCACTGAGCCAAACCAGCCAAGGCTATTAATCTTGATTTAAATTTATTTCTAAATTGAGCAAAACTCCCAAATGATTTTCGGTTTCCTGGAAAATTCATGTGCTGTATAAGCATAGTTCTCACTTATAGAAATACCTGCCTACAATTTGACGATATTAAACACAGATTTATTATTCCAAAATACTTCAACTTAATTCAGTAAAGTAGAAACTGTAAAACACGGAGGCCTGGCAGGCTTGGAGCATCTTTGGAAGAGCAGGTGGTATTGCAGTTAGAGAGGCTGTACAGGTTTAAAGTGGACAAGGAAGGCTGGACACACACAGCCTCCAGGTTTGTACCTTTGTACCCCACCCCCCACCCCCATCCCTGACACTGGCTTTTTCTTTTGGTGACATGAAAGGGAAAGAACAAGAAAATACACCCTTGACAGGAAAGGAAAATCCAGCAACAAAGAAGAATGAATATTTTCGTTACAATTCCATTTGGGAACTATTTTAAATTTGTACCAGAAAGCTGATAGAACTATGAAGTATTGATCACGCTGCTGCTCACCTTCAAATTCTATTGCCGGAGAATCCAAGCTTGCTAGGACCCCAAGTGCCCCTGGGGGCTGTGGCTGGTCTTTAGCAGGTTTCAAAGGCAATATTCAGGGGCACCACACACACCACGAACGCACACCGACAGGCCCACAGAGCAAGCGGTTCAGGAAGGAGAGCAGCTGGGGGTCAGTTCTTAAGGACGGCCACTGGCAGAGGTAAAAAGCTGTCTGAAGACGGGCATGGCTTTGAGGTTCAGCCTTGACCCTGCCTGATGGGAGGCAACACTGTGGGCTGCACAGGGGTGAGCCCTCAGTTCTGGGGGTCCCCAAAAGAAGGGCTTCTCTTTATATCACATCACACCACAGATGCAAAACAGGGTAAGAAGTGACCAGACTTAGGACCGACTGGAGTGCTCACGGCAGGAATCCGGAGGCCGTGTGAAAAGCGCCGGCTGGTGCTCACCGAGCACAACAGCGGAGTGAGAGTGGGTTGCGCCAGGTCCACGGCCTGCACGTGCCCGCCTTCACCGACAGCCTCAGTCACGGGCTGCTTTCAGGAGAATTTACCAAAGAGCCGCTGCACTCTTCCTGGTGTGCCGATTGTCCTTCGTTTGGAACGATGGCCTTGCTCTTACAAGAACTCTTTAAAAGTTATTATTTTTTTTTTATTTGTGAATCTGATGATATTAGGGTGGTATAAATTACTCATTTATTTATAAGTGTTCTATTGCTCTTTATAGATGGTCTTTATAAGCTGCACTTACTCTAAAACTTATTTATTCTTAGTTTGTATTTTTATAGACACTTGCCTCTGTGTCGAGAAAAATATCTTAAATCTTCTTTTTCTTAGTACTACATTCCTTCCGTAACTGTGAGCAGAGGCCACACTAAACAGTCACCAGCAAATTATTTCCAAGACAGCCTGCATATAGTGTTATGGTGGGATTGATTAAAATTTATTTTAATTCTAGATTAAAAAATTATTCCTTGATGTAAAGTAGAACTTTAAGAATTGAATTTTTTCTTAAAAGTATTGAAAACTCTCATAATATAGGTGGCTTACATGTAAATATTGTCCAAATGGTTTGAAAAATAGTTTAAAATATTCCTTTGAGATTAATAGACAGAATTCTTAATTTGATCTGGAAATATCACACACATACTACACCATACAAACACAGCACACACTTACCACACAATATAAACATACACACATACACACATCACATACCCACAACACACACATATACCATATACATCACACACCATAACATACACACACTACACCTTACACATAACACACAAATATACACACATACCCATAACACACACATACACCATACACACCCCATATATGCCACAGACCATACACACACACACACACCATGCTCCCTGCAACCCTACACTCACCCCCCACATACACTCCTTCCACACACACCACACCACACCACACACACATGAACAACTTGTGATGACTGCACTGTCGCTATTTTCTTTCTTTTCCTTTAAAATATATTTTTATTGATTTCAGAAAAGAAGGGAGAGGGAGAGAGAAACATCAATGATGAGAATCATTGATCAGCTGCCTCCTGCATGCCCCATGCTAAGAATGGAGCCCTTAACCTGGGCATGTGCCCTGACTGGGAATTGAACCATGACCTCCTGGTTCATAGGTCAACTCTCAATCACTGAGCCACACCAGCTGGGTACTATTTTCTTTCATGTTAAAAAATCGCAAATGCCACATTAAAATACCTGATTATATCATCCATTTCTTTTATATTCAAGCTTAAGAGAAAATAATTCTGAAAGATAAGCTGCTGATGAAAGTTAATCCCCTGAAAAGTAAACTTCCCGCTCCTCTCCCTCCCCACTGTGTGGTCTGGGAGCAGATGCCCTGTGCTTGGGGAAGGTCTGCTAAAGCCTGGTAGCAGGATCTGGCAGGAGAGGACCAGTGGCCGCCTCTCTTGTCTGCTCAAACCCCCTGCACTGACCTCAGCGGCCCAGCAGTGCTGCGAAGAGGTGGGGATTTCTCCTTCAGAGATGAGGACTCAGGGCTCCAAGGACAGCAGCCCCAGGGAATGGGGGTGGGAGCTTCCCTTCTGCCATTTTCTCACATCTCACTTGCCCCGGCTGGAGATTGCTAGTGCATCTGTGGAGTCTGG